TTAATATCCAATTGCCGGATAACCCACTGCTGGCTTACTGCAATAGATAAAACAGTACGAATAGTAGTAGGTTTAATAACAGGACTAAAGGTGTTAAAATAGTCAGATCCCGGACGTTGATGAAAGCCTTTGGCAACCAAGCGAGCCTTATAACGCTCAATACGACCATCTGGAGCTCGTTTTAAACGAAACACCCATTTACAACCAATTAAATGAAGATCAGGAGATGGAGGAACAAGTTCCCACGTACCTTGACGCACAAGAGCACTAAATTCTTCAGACATAGCCCGTCTCCAATTGGGATCTTTCAGAGCTTGTGTCACACAAGTGGGTTCACTGAGAGGTGTAGGACACTGGGACAAAGCTTGGAAAAGGATTTTGGGTTTAAAAATGTTATTCAAGGAGCGAGTGCGCATGCGGTGTAGCCGGGTAGGAGGATTTGGGCGAGCCACACTACTTGGGGCTTGGGTTGGGGAAGTGGACGGTTTTGAGACTTGGACTGGGGATAAGGAGGTGTGATGAGGAATGGAATTAGCGGAGGATGTGGGGCTGGGGGAGTTGGACTGGGCGGGTAGGTGGGCTGGTACCGGAATCGGTGATGGGATTGAGGAAGGAGAAGCTGCAGGAAGAGGCACCTCGTGAGCCACCAATTCATGGGGAGCACCAGCAGGAGAGGCAAGTGACGATGGCGAATGACTAAGATCTGGACCAGAGGTAGAGGTAGGTGACGACTCATTGGCATGTAAAAAGGTAGAGGGTAAAATAGGGACAGTGGACTGAGATTTGTGAGGAAAGGTAGACTCGTCAAACACCACATGACGGAAGAATGAGGGTGGCGGCCAAGAGAAGAATGAGAGTTTCCTGCACTCAATGAAGAAGAGGGATCAGTATTGGAGTGAAAGGAAGCAGCAGCATAATGAGCTGTCACCGGTGTGATCTCAGGACGAGCTTCTTCTCGTTTGAGACTTTCTTCATGAGCAACCAATCTATCATGCAAGTCATCAAAGGAAAGAGAGGAGTCCCGTGCTCGGAGAGAAGCTGCAATCTCCCGAAACTCAGAGCCAAGGCCATTAAGAATATAAACTGTAAGATCATCATCGTTGAGTGGACGATCAATGGTTCCCAATTCATCAGCAACAGTCTTGAGATCTCTTAAATAATCTGCAACAGACCGGCCATCACGTCTCATGTTTTGGAGACGTTCCTTTAAAGTGATCACCCGACTTCGAGAGCGATTAGCATAAAGCCTCGCTAATGTTTCCCATGCCTGTTGTGCTGTGGCAGCAGCCGCAATATAAGGGGTGATGTTCTCCGAGACGGAGGTGATAAGAGCATGTCGCAAGAGTTGATCTTGACGAGCCCATAAGCTGTACTCTGGTGCGGTTGCAACTGGACAGGGGTTCCTGCCATCAAGGTAGCCATCGAGTTCATAACCTGCAAGCAAACAAGTAAATTGAGCCCTCCAAGACATATAATTGGTGGGCGTTAGCTTTACAGGGAATGCAGCGGAATTGAAAGATAATGGATTTCTGGTGAGTCCAGGATTGAGAACAGTTGCAGCAGAGTTTGGGGAGGTTTTGGATGCAGCAGAGTTGGGGGATTCATCAGGAGTGGCCATGATCAAGACTCGTGAGAGCAGTAGAGGCTCTGATACCACTGAAGGGTTATAGATTGAAGCAGACAAAGCTATATTATTATTGCTGTCTTATGAAGAATATATACAGAGGTATCAACACAGAATCCTAACTGGTATGGAAACTAAATATATGATACACAAAATCCTAGCTGGTATGGAAACTAAATATGTGATACAGTATAATAAACATATAGATTACAGATTGAATGAATCCTAAAATCATGGTCTCATTGACTGCTAATCACGTGGTAACAGCTGGAGATGCAGTTGCCTTAACATTAACAACGGTGGGAATACTTGCTAGAGGAGGAATGGTCTGAAAGATGGGATTAACATTAAGTGGCTGTTATTTTTCTGTTTGTTAATGGGTTTGAGTACCCATTGTACTCAGTTTCA